TTAGAAAGTTTACAAAATAACATCCTTCTCACCAGTTAATAACATTTTGTAGTTTTTAAAATTTCTTCCTTGCCCTGGGTAATTCTTAGCAGAGTGATGCTTTTTGGAATGTTCAGAGATTGCTAGCTATACTTTTATTAATTAATTGAATTTCACTCTGCTTGAAGAAATACTGTACAAGAATGCAATTATCTGAATCTTGTCTCTTAATTATAATTAAATATAATTGACTTCGCTAAATATTCCACAGCATTTGTAATGATGTGAAGCTTCTTATTGAGCTTAATCTCTAAATCTGCTATTTCATGGTGTTGTGTTGTTTTTACATCTGCTGTTCCATTGTTCCAAGTTTTCATTTGCTTGATCCACCTGATATTGAGCTATGTGAAGTTCCTCTATTTTACTATGGATCTGTTTGTCTTTTCATTCTGTCGACTGTTGCTCTGTTACAAATGCATGACATTTTTGTTGGACTCTAATACATCTTTCTTCAGTGCCTTTCCACATTATAATCACAAAAATTCCCTCTTTAATTCAACTAGTGTGTCTTCCCTTAAAGTTTACTTTTTGTGATACAGCTATAGTAGCTTACTTAGGTTTAGTTTTACATAGCACATGTTTTTCTATCACTCTCTTTTTAACATTCTTTCACCTCATATACATAGTATCTTGCAAACAGCATATTTTTAAACTTTGTTCTGAGCTTTGTCCAGAATATACACTACGTTTATTGTAACTGCAGTCATTTACCATTGGGATACTATCTTCCATTTGCCAAAGCAATTTGACACACTTATTTTTCCCACCATTTCTGTCTTCTTTCTCTTTAATTTTTAATCATTAGAGAATTTTTAATTTTTTTCTTTTATATTTAATTTCATTCTTGCTCTTTATGAATATGAGGGTTTTGATTACCAGGCATCTCTGGGCTTCTAGATTATGTAAGTTGATATTTTCTATACTTTTAAAAAAAAAAAATTCTCATCCATTATTCCTTCAAATATTGGAGGTGTATTACTCCCTCTTTCTCCTTCACATTTTTCTTCAGAGTATATGTTGGTTTGGTTAACAGAGAGGAAGACTAGAGGTAGAGAGTGGCATTCTGTGATTCTCAGTAGACACTGAGCTATGGAACATCTGGCCTCATCTAGTGTGAAGTTGCCCAATCTACTCTGAGGGGACCATGTTTTTAAAACATTAAGTACCAGATCTGAAGTCTGAAACCTAGAAGCATAAGTAAAATTACCTGGGGTGAACAATGGCTTGTCACATGTTTCATTTTTCAGTGAACATTCATTATGTTGGCATGCAAATAACTGCAATTTGCAAAATTTATTATAGATGATAATAATATGACAGCAGAATGGCAGTGTTTGGCTTGTTCCCTTGCAACTCTAGTACATGGCATATGTGAGGAGAAGTTGTGATGAGAAAAATCCACAATTCATACAGCCATCAAGAAAGCTTCTCCATTTGGGGAGTTTAGAACTCTTGGGTGCCTAAATAAATACAGAAAGAAAAAGGAATACAGAAGAGATACTGATTGAAAAAGATAGAAAACCATGAAATTTGATGAACAATCAGTAGTGCAAATTGTGGGAGTGGATTTAGTGTTCAGATAAAACTAGAAAGAAAAATAGGCCTTTGCGGGGGGGAGATATTCTTAGTACTAGATTTTAGCTATTGATGTTCCATAAAATTGGGGCAAAATTCTAAGACCCAACTCATTTCTCCTCCAGTGGATTTATTCCATTTGCTTTGGTCCAAACTTCCAGAATTTGGGACAAGATGGGTGGGGTATTTTGGAATATTCAGTTAGCCATTTCTGAGTTCATCTTTCTAAGAGCAAGCACTTAGCTCAGGACTGCATTCCAGACTTTGATGGTGTTCAAGAGAAGAATAAACTTCTCTGTACCTAAAGGAAGCCAAGAGTGTAGTCTGTGTGGAGAGGTAACAGAATGTAATTGAGAACCCAGTTGAGGAAAGGTATGTTTGAAAACTAAATTCCCAGGGTCATTTGGGGAAAATGTACCTACATTCTTAAAAGAATAACACTTGTCTTCAAATTGGAGCATTTATTAAGAATAATTTTTTCATCACAGGTACATGTAAAAATGTTGAAATAATAAAGATAGAAGTATCATTTTTTGAGGAAACAATATCATAGAAAAGTTCTCTGCAGGCTTGATTACTTCAAAAATGGCACTCCATGGGGCTAAGTTCAATATCATCGTACCCAGCATCTTCTTGTCCCAACACCAATGGGGACCCCTTTTCTTCCATACTGGTGTTGGAAGCTTCTCTAGGAGAGTCAAGAGAGATGCCTGAAGGAGCAAGGAGAGTCTTGGTTTCAGTGGTGATAAAATGACAGAGTTCTCTTGTAGGAGGAAAGCCTAATTTAGAAAGGCCACAAAATACCTTTAAAGTCCCAGAACTTGTCTGAAAGACTGGACAGAGCTAATATATTCAGTCCACCCTGTGCACAGCCTTGTCTTGATCTGAACAATGCTGGGAAGGAGACAGGTCAATAATGGGAAGGTGTAGGATCTCTTACACACCAGGCTGGACTGATTTCTTAAAGATCAGAGACAGCAAGTTTGGCACAGTGGTGCACACCTGTAACCCCAGCACTGGGGAGGCTGAGGCAGGAGGATTGCTGTGAATTCAAGTCCAGCCTGGGCTACACAGTGACTTCAAGATCAGCATGAAAGGCACAGTGAGACCCTGTCACAAAACAAACAAAAAGACCAGAAGCAGTAGATGACCTCTTATGATTCCTCAGTACCTCACACTAACAAATTATACTAGACTTCAAATTATTTTACTATTTGGTTCCTTTAACAATGAAAATAGGCAATAGCTCAAAGTAATCCCAGTCTCCTGCTCCTCATGGACCATGTACCCACAATGTACACAAATCCTACTCTTGGGAATGACATTATGTGTTCAATTGAAACAATGATAGAAAATTATTTCTTCCTCCTAGGGATGAAAATTTTGATTCTAATGAAGTATGCTGCAAATTCTGCATTAACAGTGGGCAATGTCAACTTCAAACACTCAATTAAATGGTTGTCTCTAAGTAAGGTTTTTTTAATAGCTAATAGGTTTAATATGTATTAGTATCAAATCTTTCCAAATTACTTCACATGACTGGAAAGAATTCTCATATTTGTTTTCCAATCATATCTTGGCTTGGGATATGAAAAATAGGATCAAAGTAACAATGTTTCTGTAAGTCATACAGACATGCCTACATCCAATGGGCAGTAGATACAGACAGAGAACAGAAGATGTGGGAAAGGTATAATAAAACAAAGTCTTGGAAGAGCAGAGGAGTTAACATCCTTTAGGTATAGAAGGTAACTTAAATCATTATAGTAAAGAAAAAATGATGATTGTTTCATCCAAGCTCAATTCTTCCATTACAATGAAGTTAGATGACTGCAGACAGACCTGTCCACCCACCTCCCTGAAGACACCTGGCACCACTTTCCTCTTGTGGAGAATCACTCTTGTCACTCATCCCAGAAGTAAAAGGAATTTCAGGAGCAGGTAACTCTTCAACATCATCGTAACCATTTCCTGTGGCATCTATATGTTGTCCTGCAGGTTTTGGAAACAGACAAGGATAAAGTAGAGGAACAAACTACTGGCTGGACTAGGCGATTTCTTAAATCTCTACTAATGCAGAGACTCTAATAACTGATAAATATAAGTAGTATATTCCAAAGCTGCTCTAAAGTCATTGCATGTTTTTTTCCTGAGAACATGTAATTTCTCTAAATATTCCAAAGTACTAGAAGCAATAATATTTCACTGCAATGGTCTCTCATACTATAAAACATTAACAAAATTATTAGGTTATGAGATTCAGAGAATATTTTCAAAGCATATGCAACAGAGCTGAAACACATAATAAGTATGGATCAGTGTCTGAGAGATTCAACCTGTACTAAGGGAACCCAGGGCTATCTGTGTGCCCTGAGCAGTGAGGTACCCGAAGTTGTAAGGAGCAAGGAAACTGGGCTTCTCTCACTGGCAGATATGAAGTCCCCCAAACCCAACCTCAGGAGATGTGGTATTCCACCCCCACCCCCCTCAATTCTCTGTTGACCTTCAGATCCCATTTCCACGGAGCCCTCATGGACAGGCTTCCTGCTAAGGGCTGCCCATCTTTACCACTGGGGCAAAATCCAAGGAGAACCTTCTCTCTCAGTGCTATGTGGAGAAGATCTCTCTGTCACTGTTGGGATATGCACAGTGACTCAGTGTATTCCAGAGATCATCACATCAGTGCTTTAGAGAACCACCACCTGATCAACTGTTTATTCACATAAATCACAGAATGATTCATCTATCACTCTATCTCAGAGTCAAAACCATATTTCCCACTGTTCTTTCTCATCATGGAATTTTACAAATAATCAGTTTCAAAAGTTATTTTAAAACCCCTGGCCTTCGAATTTATACTATTGCATTTGTTGTATGTCTGTGACAGGGTAGAAGTGTCTTCTATACTAAAAGCATTTGATCTTTCATGTAATCAGATCTCAGAGGGGGCAGAGTGCACTAATTGCTATAAATAAGAGAAAAGAGGTTTCTCATCCTAAGCACAGGAGAACGCTCTCTGCAGATGTCATTCCTCTTCCTCACATGCTTGTCCTTGGAAAACCCTGCCTATCTCACCTGGGGCAGATTCCGGGTCTCCACTCTCCTCGCTGTCCCCTGTGTAATAGGGTAGCATATTGGCAGAATCATCAGACAGGTTTTCTGCAAGGAAGAGAAACATCACAGATGCATCCAGTCAGAGGCCAGAGCCCATGGTTCAGAAGAACTCTTGAAATTTCAGAATGGCAGAAAGAGGACTTGGAGCTCCTGCCTTAGAAAAAGGATGCAAATGTGCTAGGCTTGGACTCTCAAATTCCTCATAGGCCCACTCATTAAAGGCTTGGGCCATAGCTTGGTTTCATGAAGGTGGTGGAATCATGGAGAAGTGGAGCCCATTGGGAGGTCTGAGGCCCTTGCGGGCACTGGGGTGGCCTCTCAAGGTGGTCTGAGGGACACTCCTGTCTTCCTCTGTATCTGCTTTCTGACCAGTATGAGTTCAGCGGCTTCATCCTCCTTATATTTTCAGCCATAATGTGCTTTCTTGTCACAACTCAAAAAGCAATAGGGACAAATGATCATGGAAGGAAATTTCTGAAAATTCTAAGTCAAAATAAACTTTCTTCCATATAAGGTCATTATCTCAGGCATTCTGTCACAGTAATAAAAAGCTGAGTAATACATCAATGTGAGGTTGTGTTAGTGCTGGGGCTTGTGGTTACTGAAGATGGATATTACCATTCCCAGGTCCTAAAGAAAGGGAGTTATAACGCACACACCTGATCTGTCCACTGGGTCCTCCTCCAGATTTAGGAGATAATCTATCTCCTGGTACAAGGCCTCCTCAACAGAATCTTCAAAATTGGGTGAGGCTGGAGAAAGAAGCATGAGTTCAGCAAATGCAAGCCTGCTGCATTCCCCAATGTGCATCATGGCAGAAACCCTCTGTGCCACCCTATGCCTTTCTTTAGCACTGTGCTCTGCTGAGACACAACTGGGTTTCCTCACCCTACCTCATTCTACACCGGGGCTCAAATGACGTCCTGCACATGTGATGTCATCATATGTGAGACTTTTCACTTTCAACACAGGATGAAGGATTAAAAGCATTCAATGTTGAAGCCCATAGTCGACATGGAATTTATTCAGAGAGTGAGGGTGAAGACTGAAATGCGTGAATTCTTTAGAGAAGCAAAACTGGTCCAACACTCTCTACTTAATTTCCAGGTCACCAGCATCCCTCATCCCTACCTTTCAGCTGAGCTCTCCCTCTATGTAGCTGCATCCCCAGTATGATGAGAACCATGAAGAGGAGTGTTCCCAGGATGATGCAGAGGATCCCAGGTAAGGAGAAAACACCAGGGATAGGAGCTGGAACTGAACTGGTGCCTGAGGAGGAAAATGTCCATCAGTCTGCAGAAAGGTTCATGAAAACCTCAGCATCTGCTCATTCTACAGCTGAGAACAAAACCACTTACTTGTAGATGTTGAGGGAACTGTCATCCTTTCAGCTAGAGAGAAGAGAAAGAATATGGCTTCAGTGAACTGTATTAGCTGCACACTCAGGGGGTCACAACTAACACCACTGCACATGGTTCTGTTCCCTGATGCTAGGAGCTCAGAGCACAGCCTCTGAAGAACCACAGCACTGGCAGAGGGCAGCCTTGGACACAGCACTCCTGCAGCCCCCGCCCACGTCCCTGGCCTGCCACTCACCTGAGCACCTCACGCCCGCATCCTCCTCATGCTTGCAGTCGCTCTGTCCCCAGGGCGCCCTGGCACAGGCCCACAGGGAGGACTCCCTGGCTCTGCACTGTACCTCATCCAGCCAGATGCTTCCATTTCCCGGGCCAAATGCAGCCTCTCCTGGGGCGTCCAGGGCAGGGCCACAGCCCAGCTGCCAACACACCACCTCAGCCTCAGCCAGGCCCCAGGAGTCGTCACACACTGTGCCCCAGGAGCCTTCATGCCACACCTCCACGCGGCCTGAGCACGTGCTGTCTCCTCCCCTGAGCTGCGGCTTCTTTCTGTCTGGAAAGGCGGCAGCAGCTGCTCTCACTGCCCTGGTGGAGGGAAGGAGCCCCTGGGAGCCATGGGGGAGGGGGGAGGGCTGAGGTACCTGTGCAGGGCACAGAGTCCGGGCAGCTCTTGGGTCTGTGTCCTGCAGAAGCAGACAATGGGGAGCACTGGGTCAGGAATGGGTGGGGCTGGTCCTGACCCAGCACAAGGCTCTAAGGCCCTGGGCTCAGGCCAGAGGGGAGGGAAGAAAACAAGCTTCAGAGTCAGTGTCCCAGGCTGTGACTGAGACACCACTGGAGCATGGCCTGATCACCAGCTGAAAGGATTGTGGCAGTTACTTGTGTATCACTCTCCACATCCCCACAACACACACACACACACACACACACACACAACACACACACGCACACACTTCCCAACGCAAGCTTCACCAGAGAAAGCACCTCAATTATGTCATTCCTTCTGTTCCTGCTGTCAGGACAGTGCTTGACATGTTACATCCATTTAGCGATTATGAGTGGAGAATCCTCTATGAGTGCTGTGATCAGGGGCTTGACAGTTATTTATTGATGAATAGTTGAGTAAAATCTGCTAAAATTGCTAAAATAATTCCCTTAATGTATTTCTCATCAGTAAGATAATAAAAAAAAACAGATATTGGTGTCATAATTGGTAGTAATAAATGTTGTCCAATTAAAATATAGTTAGTCCATTACCACACAGATAATTTGTATTCAGTATCTCACTTATTTTATAACAGAAATATCTCAGGATACATAGAGCAGAATACTTTTACTCTGCAAAATGAATGGGTCAAATGGGTTTCAGAGAATATAAAGGGAATGTGGCTAGCTGAGAAGAGAGAAGAGTGGGCACAAAACACAAATAAAAACACCAAGAAAGTAAAATACACAACAGGACAGAGACAACACAGAGCTCAAATAAAATCCATAAAAGAATCCAAACAAGAAATACACATAAGGAGACACACTGGAATTTGGGAGCAATGTGCAGTGCCTAATAGACGTTGTATCCAAAAATTCAAAAACACTGACTCATTACACATTGTAATAAGATAATTGTACAGTAATTATACATAATTTACCAGGCCTTTTCAAGTCTCACACAGAGAAGAAATATTTGATAGGGAAAAGTTTTAAAGTAAGTTTAGTAGATTAGCTATTAAAGTAGTTGTGGAAGCAAAATAGGTAGTATATCCCTTTAAAACCTTGCCTTAGCCCATTGTTTTGTTGTTTAAAGTGAAGGTTATATAGCTCCTTTGATCTGCAGCTACACTATAGATAACATCCTAGCTCTGAAGAACAAACTGGGAATCCTTGAACAAACTTGTGATATATGTGCCTTAAATGTCATGTGTTTAGGACTGTAATCAGTGACAGAAACCACCTGTGTCTAACCATTAAACAGGAATTGGAACTTTATTTACTTAACAAAGACCACTAGGGATGAGATAATGACTGACAAAAATATAAAAGGTGATGGACAAAGAACGCAGGGGGCGACTCTGACCAGACCAGTTTCTGGCATCCTGGCTTGCTAGCAAGTAAAAACTTTTGTTATTTTACCCAAATTCTGTGTCTCTGTGCATTTCTTTCTGTGATTCAAAAACATATTGAGGTAACTGATTTTTTCCTTGTGTGAAGTAAAAGGGATTGAGATGTTGGGAGGTGTTCGCTAATCTGTATCAGATAATATGGGTAAAAATGAGGAGAGGGGAAAACTAGAAGACAAAACTGGTACAGGAGAATGAGCTTCTCTATGAGGACAGAACACTGCACAGTAGGAGCCTGAGAAACTGCGCAAGGAGCAGAGGCTGCAGCCAGAACAGAGCAGCAGGACCCAGGGTTCAGGGTGCACAGCTCTTGAGGGCTGATGGGGTCAGCACAGAGGAGGTGGGATGGAAGGTAAGGCATGAGAAAGCAGAGACTCAGTGATCCCAGAAGCCAGGATGTTGTCTCCATTGTGCTTAAGGTAGCAAGAGCCCCAAGAGTGAGACAGACAGGAACATGGCCATCTTGGCACTGTACAGTTCACTGGGCAGGGGAAGTGACCAGGAGGCTGGTGACACTGTCAGAGGAGTTGGGGGTTCCAGCTCATGGGTAAAGTTCAACCAGCTGAGCAGGGAGAAGCATGGAAAAGAACTGCTGAAAATGACAATTGGTTTCTGCTCTCTCACCTAGAACTAAGTTTCTATCCGTGAGTCACTTGACTGCTTTCTGACAACAGCAGACTTCAGAAGTCATCTGACTGGTGTAGATTTACTTCAGAGCAAAAGACCAGGAGCTCAAGATACGGAAATAGAACTGGAGTCACTATACTGCCCTTCCCTTTACTGAAGATGTCCATATGCAGGAGTTGACACTAAACTCAGTTTCCCTGTGTGAACAAAATTGTCACCATAATAGCTTTTTGTGAAAATTAAACTCCATTACATGTGAAACGCGTCAACCAAATAGCATGTGAGTTATATAACTGAGTCCAAGCCCTCCCGCTCCTAATGAAATACATATTTATGCACACAGCCTAGGACTGCACTAGCCATGGCTGAGAAAGTTTATCAGAGTAATAGTTTGTGCTCCAGCATGCTCTGTTCACTCTCCCTGATACTTTTCACATAAATTGCTATTAGCACAGATTTCTGTATTTTCCCTTGAAACAAGACTGGGACATGTGGATTAAATAATCACCATGGGAAATTCATGTTGTACACATATTGTAACTCATTCCTTATATTTGAAAATACAAAACTTGCATGAAAACAATTTACAGGGGATGGACAGAAACAGAAATAGCCAGTAGCTCACCTGCGCACGTGACATAAGCTACTTCCCTTGGATGGCAGGATCTGGCATTCCAAGGGTCAGAAGGACACTGCCAGAGAGAGGCATCTGTTTTCCGGCACTGGATTCCGTCCACCCACTGGATTCTAGAACTTTCCCTGGCAGGAACATCAGAGTTGAGGGTCCCACTGTCCCCACAGCCAAGCTGTCTGCAGACCATGGACAAGGTCACGTCTTCCATGGGGCTGCGGCAGACACTGCCCCAGGTCCCGTTGTAGAAAACCTCCAGCCACCCAGCGCACTCCTGGTCCTCGCTCACCACCCTGAGGGCCAGGAACTCTGAAATCAGAAGGAGGAAAACAGGGCAGTGTGAGCAGTCAACTCCTAGTGCTCTGTTGTTTGTTTGTTTGTTCACTTTCTGATTTTTATTTTCACGTCAGTGCAGGTTTGTACTGCATAATGATGGCATCCCTCATGGGAAGTTGGTGCATATTCATAACTTGTCTTAGTCATTTATTCATCCCCTGCCCTTTCCCTCCTTTGCCCTTCCCCAACCTCTGCTTTCCTTTACCACAGAGTGAATGCTTACTCCTGACTCTGCTGTGGAATTTGCTCACTGGGAAAATGAATATTTCCTCTCTCTCTTATTCCTCCTTTGTCAACTTGAACCCTTTTCTTTCAAACTCAGTGACACGGAGGAAAATAAACAGGGAGGTCCACTGATGTCAGCTCTCTGCAGGGAGGAAAAGCTGAATCCTGTTCCTGACTGGACATCTGAGAGACCCAGTGAGAGTACAGGTGGCTGGAGGGCAGTCAGAGTACTGCAGCCTGAAATGCATCCTGATCCTTGCATGTGATGTTGTCTCACAAGGCAAAGAGGTTTTCCAGACAGGTTTAAGGAAAGGACCTTAAGGTGAGATTGACCTGGATCATCCTGGTTTAACTGAAGATTGAGCCCAAGCTCATCTCTTCAGTGGACCTGCATCCTCACAGCTGGTACATTTGGATGGCCTTGCCCGGAGAGAACTGTGACCAAGGAAGAATGGCCAGATTGTTCCAGGAGGTTCCTCTGAAGGAGCAGGAAGGAACCACCAGCCAATGAGTGCAGGTGAGATCTGGAAGCTGGAAAGGGAAGGAGAGGAGTCTGTCCCAGAGCCTCGAGGAAGGCAGCCCTGATGACATATTATTTCCAGTCTAACCAGGTCCAAGCTGTCCTTCTGGACACCTCTAAGTGATTAAATCATGTTGTTTTAGCCACTACGTCTTCTGTGATTTGTTCCCACAAAATAGGAACCTGATGTTCATAATTTTGCACCCACAGGGAACTTAAAATTGAGCTCTGCTTTGAGATGGACACTAGAAATAACTCTGTCAGACACAGAGCTGAGAAGGAAGGACCAGAACCTCAGCTGGACAGGAGGAAGTGACAGCACCTCAACTTCACTGCTAGAAGCACAGGCACTCTGGCCTTCTCAGGTTCTGTCCCATGCCCACCCTAAGGCTGAGCTGCTGTCCTCCACACCCTGCACCATCACCCCATCCAGCAGTGGACAATGTGAGCACAGACCTGAGCAGATGACCCCTGCGTCCTCCTTGTGCCTGCAGTCGTGCTGTCCCCAGCCCCGGGAAGGGCACTTCCACATGTGGGACTCCTCTCCTGTGCAGCTCAGCTCATCCAGCCAGATGGGCCCTGATCCCTGCCCAAAGTGACCAGAGGCCGTGGCATTGAGGGCCACTCCACAGTCCAGCTGTCTGCATACCACGTGGGCGTCTCGCAGGTCCCAATTGTCATCACAGATGGTGCCCCAGGAGCCCTGATGCAGGATTTCCACTCTCCCTGCACAGTGACTGCCTCCATCCACCAGGCGCAGCTGTCTGCTGTCTGAGGAGAGACAGAGTCAGGTCAGTGGTGCTGACAGAGGAAAGAGCAATTTCTGTCCTGGGGATGTCCTCACCTGAGCAGTTGGCAGCCTGCTCCTCTGAGGCAGTGGAGCCTGCTGGGTCAGACAGGGAATCATCACACTGGGGCAGCAGCTGGGTCTGGTTTCCTGCAGAGATGGTGAGAGAGCAGCAACCTGAGTTACATTCACTAAGTAACAGTCTAGTGATGGCATCTGGGATGGAAGCTATGACATAGGAACAATGACTTCCTCTCTTCAATGCTGATTTTCCTTATGTACATTTGTACTTCTCACTAGGACAGACTTTTCTATTTTAAACTAAACACTACGAATGACTTTATTATGTTTGCAGGTGTTCTGGTCAGCAGCCCCAGCTGATCTTCCAGTTGCCAGCTATGAACATGAGCTCTCCTGGATTCCCAGCTTGGTCAAGTCTTCAAATGACCTCAGCCTGGGATAACATCTAAGTGTAACCTTATAAGAGACCCCAAAACACAACTGTCAAGCTGAATTCTTCCCAAATTCTTGAGCCAGGAAATCATGAGCAAAATGAAATGTATTTTTGTCTATTTTCTGCTGGGGTTTTTTTGGAAAGTATTATATTTTGGGGACACTTTACATACCAGGATACCTAGCAGTGTTACACTTCCTTCCTCATTGTGGAAGTATGTGGGGAGAGGCTGGCAAAGAAATGATTGAACCTACTGTGCTAAGTACAGGACCTTCAGACACCAGTTCCCATGCTCCTGGAATGCAGGGTTAGAGCTTAGAGCAGCATGTGCAGCAAAACAGGCAGCAGAATTAAGAGCAACTTACTGTCAAAGGTGTTTGCTTTGGCCCATGTGTTCCCTTGCCCAAGAAGATTGCCTAGAGTAGGTTGACATGTGTCATGTGACAAACCATCCCATTCTGGCACCATCCCCTGACAAAAATTCCTATACACTATGTTGCAAAGTGCTTTTCTTCCATGTATTTGTTCTCATGTCTGTGAGTTACAAATAAATAACCACAGAGGTCTCAGCTGGCTGCTGTTTCCCTGAGGCTCTCTCATGCCCAAAGGCAGCCCCTGAGTTCCCAGTGCAGGAATTAAATCTTGGCTCTGCATGATCCTTCTCATCCTCTTGCTGCCACAGTCCCACACTGCAACAGAACTATTCACTGATTAAGAGTAGAATGAACCCAGAGTGCCGCCTGCCTCGCAAGCGCAAGGTCCCAAGTTCGATCTCAGTGCAAAAAATAATAATAATAATTAGAATTAACCCAGAGCCCATCACAGATTAATGGATACAGCAAATGCAGGATACCTACTAAGTGGGAATATTCCTCAGCTATAAAGTATACATTTATGTCACTTACAGCAAAATGAAAGAATTTAGAGGACATGATATTAATTGAAATAAGTCAAAGATTGACAAGCACCACCTGTTCTATCTCCTTTTTGGTGGCTGAAATTAAGTTTTCGTGAATGTGGTGTAGAGATTACTACAGGCTCTAGAGAGTACTCATAGCACTAGCCATGTCCAATCTGGTATTAATAATACACATTTTCAACAAGTAATGGAAGATTGGGTTTTTTTATTCATTTTTCTAATGTTTTCAGTTGCAAAGAAAAATTGGAGATGCTCCATATCACATAAGACAAACAGACATGATAAGAAAATTCAGTAAACATTTAATCACTTCTTGTGAGTGATGTACTTGGGAAAACTGATGAAATATGAATAAGGCTGAAGGACAGGATCATAGTAGTGTAACAAAATTAATGTATAGAATATAGTAGTTATGTTGTGGTTATATATGGAAATTGTTTAAAACGTTTGAATTTTAAAGAGAAATGTCAGCTACATACCTTTAACCAGTAATTCAGATAGCTTTTACATATTTGGGCAAGAATAAAACAGAAGGAGGAGCAGAGTATTGCAAAAAATGAATATTAGTTGTCTGGATAAAGGTTATATAGGATTTATTATACTGTTCTGAGAATATTTCAATAATTCTCAAATAATGTTTAAAAAGAAGACAATCTACAGTAAAAAAAACAAATGTACATGGAATTCAGAGAATTTCTTTGTAAAATATTTTACTGAAAGA